CCCTGCCTGGGGTTGATGAATGTGGGGTATTATGATTGGCAGCTACCATTAGAACCACAAGGTAGAGAGGAAGGAGGAACTGATATTAAAGTTAAGCCAAAAAAATTAAATAATGGTGGTTTAACATAAAGAGTGGTGATTTAACGTATTTACAAGGTTGCACAACCTTGTAAATATACTAAAAATCCCTGAATTGTAGAAGACTGAATTGTATGGAATCTGAATTATATCTCAATTAAGAAAAAACTAAGCCAGAGATGAAATCTTGCTGGCAAAAATAAGCATTTCTATATTCTTTATATTTGGGCTATTCATGTATTCAGCAAACATTTACAGTGTGTCTAGTATGTGCTGGCAGTTATCTAGATTTATGTTGTGTGGGAAATAGCACACACACAAACACACAAAAAGGGTAAGAAGGTTGGATTTCATTCTAAATGTGATGGGAAAGCTCTGGAGGTTTAGGTGTGGAGAGAGGTCCACCCCCTGGATGAGACTCCCTGGACTCTAGGGCCTTCTGGCTGGTGCTTTGCTGTGGTCAGCACAAACCACACCTTGGAAGGAAGATGAGACTGTTTTAAGAGGTCTCTTGAGATGGATTCCAGAACCCTCATTTTCAGAATTTGGCAAACTTGTCCAAAAATAAAGTTTTCCTTGTGGACTAACCCAGATCACATTATGCTTTGTTTTAAGGCTATTTGCCCAGAGTTAGCAAAACTGCAAAATTTGAGGGCACAGTTTCAAGACTGCCCTCACTTCTAACACCAACTGCAAGTTTGGGGGGGTTCCTAATACCACCCTCAGGTTTGATGATGTTCTAGAGGGATTCCAATAATGCAGTGGAAGCTGCAATATTCATGGTTATGGTTTATTATAGGGAAAGGACAGAGTCTGGTAGGGTTCTAGCTGCAAAACTTCTGTTGCCCTCTTTCCCTGTGGAGTGTGTGGACCCTCCTGATATTGATGTGTGACAAGATGCATGCAGTACTGACAACCATGAAAGCTCACCTGCACTTTGTTATCCAGAGTTTTTACTGGGGCTTTATTACGTGTGCATGATTGACCGACTGTCCGTGTGATTGAACTCAGCCTCCAACTTGACTAATACCATGTGACACAAAGCCCCCACTCTAAGGCACATGGATGGTCTTTCTAGCATGACCACCTCCCAACCTAAGACTACTGAGTATGGCCAGCCCCACCCCACAATCTGAAGTGATCAGCCCCTGCCCTAAACAAAGATACTCCTATGAAAAATGATATAGATTTCATCCCAGAAGCTGAAGGCAAAGGCCAGACCTCTCTTTGGGCAAAGCCAAATTCTCTCTCTTTTTTTATTTTTTTCCTTTTTTGAGATGGGATCTCGCTCTGTCACCCAGGCTGGAGTGCAGTGGCGTGATCTTGGCTTACTGCAACCTCTACCTCCTGGGTTCAAGCGATTCTCCTGCCTCAGCCTCCTGAGTAGCTAGGATTACGGGCATGCACCACCATACCTGGCTAATTTTTGTACTTTTAGTGGACATGAGGCTTCACCATGTTGGCTAGGCTGGTCTTGAACTACTGATCTCAGGTGATCTGCCCGTGTCAGTCTCTCAAAGTGCTGGGACTATAGGTGTACACCACGACGCCTGGCCCAGCACTCATTATTTCTTCCAGTTTTCTTTTCAGTAGACATGAAGGAGGAAGGATTGTCTCTTGCCACAAACTGTTTGCAAAAAGATAGGTCAGTGTTCAGAGCAGCAGCTCAAGGGAAACCTGGAACATGCTGGCTCTGACCTGTCTCCATCTCTTCTTCAGACTTTCCAAGGGGAAGTTCCCAAAAGAGGGGTGAGGAGGGGCTGGGAGGAGCAGCAAGTTTTATGGGAGGCCTGCCCTGTGTGCCCTGAATTTTAAAATGGAAACAGTAGATCCTTGGGGTGGATCTGATGCTCGGGATTTCTGCCTCATCAAAACTGCAGGTTAGTTGGGGAGATGACGCCCGCATTAGGATTTCCACTGGAAGCTTCAAAGCTTGCAGAATTGGAATGCTGCTGTGTGCAGCAAAGGGGAGCCTGTCAGGACTTTGCCTGGATGTTGCAGCACTTAACAGTGGACCTGGGGAGCTCACCTTGCTGTTGTCAGGGAAGCCCCCAGTGGGTTTTGGCTCTGTTGGCTGAACACCTGTAGCCCATGCAGTTGCATCACCTTCCATCTGACTCTCATTATGCATAAGCTTAGCGAGTCTAAGCATTGACCTCACCATTTATTTCTTGCCCCTGGGTGCCTCTCCATCCAGTGCTGTTTTCCACTGTAAGCGCTCATACAGGGGGATTGTGTTCAATATGTTCATTGAGTCTAAGGTAGGAACAGTAAACTTGACAGTTTTCAGACAGAAGTCGGAGTAATTTTCCATAACCTGTGCTCGTTAATGTCCTGATTGGGGTTAACTGATTCAGGGAAGGCGGAGAGAGAGCGAAACACTAAGAGAAGTGAAGGAGGAATAATCAGAATTTGGCAACAGCTTGGTGGTGGGGCGTGAAGGGATGATTTGTTGACAACCCCAAGATGATAAGCATCCCCAGAGAGACAGAGAAGTGGGGCAGAGAGAATGAGATTTGTCTCCTCTGACAAATTTGAGGCACTGCTGGGATATCTAAATGGAGCAACCTAAGAGGGCAGGAAACACAGGCTGGAACACCTTTGAAAGCAGACACCTCTGGGGGCAACTGTAATTTCCAGGCAAATAGGAGGCTTAGGAGTTTTCTAACTGAGCAGTGCCTGGCTGTTGCAATCACTGAGTGGTGGAGAAAGGAGGGAGACTGAGTGTGTGCAGCAGCAGGTGAGAGGTTCTGTCGTGTATCTGGCCTGCAGTGACAGAGACAGACTTTGGCATAGAATCCTCTAGACCTGCAGTGGCAGACATCTTGAGAGTAGCAAATGTGCACCACATGGCTCAAAGGACCCGCCTGGCCATCGCAGTCAGCGTAGATTTGGTATTTATTATGATCATTTTCTGGCAGATGGAGTAAAGTGCCTTGAGGAAGATGTGACTTTTTCTAATGTGTGCGAAGTTACACTATGAGCTAACAGGGGCTCTGAGGTTAGTTCATTTTTCACAAGTTTTGGTCAATAAAGCCTGCAAATTTTCCAATCCCTTCTGATCTTGCTACATTATGTGAGGAATCAAAGAACCTGACTCCCCAAAGACCCTGTAATAATTTTCTAAGTGGGGTGCTTTAACGTTGGCACTTAGCATCTTGCAGGCTCTGTGTGTGACTGTGGGATACACTGGGAAGGTGAATTGGTACACATTTCATGGAAAGTTGCTTAGCATGTGATACATAGTAAGAGCCATAGGTATGCCTTTCCTTTCACTTGGTAATTCTACTTCCAGAAATCTACATCTTTGATACATTAAGTATCAAAGAAGAGCAAAGATACAGATTATGAACAATGATGTTTTTCCTTACAGCATCACTTGCAATGATGGCAGAGAAGGGACAAGATTCCAAGCCAGCTGTGCTGCACCACTTCCTCCCCTCCCCCAGGGCGAGGCGGGTGGTCCCTCTTCTCACCCTGAAACAAAACCTAGATGCCCTGGGCCTTGCACAGGAAATGCTATTTTGGTTATAGGCGACATTTTTTAGTAAACCAAAAGTGTCAACCATTCACAAAATGCTCTTCTCTAGCATTTGAAGACTTTTAAGCACACAACCTAGATCACGTTCATCTTTTTCCTCTGGGTAACTTCCCTCTTGTCAGAGTGCTCCTTTCCTTATTCTCTTGCAAATGAAAATTGAAGATTTTTAACAATTTGTTATTTATTTATTTATTTAAACTTAAATTCTTTTTTTTTTTTTTTTTTGAGAGTCTGGCTTGTCGCGAGCTAAGTGAGGCGATTACTCATGAAGCTCGCTCCGGTTCACGCATCTCTGCCTCAGCCTCCGGATACTGGCTACAGGCGCCCCCTCGCCCGGTATTTTTGTATTTTTAGTAGAACGGTTTCCGTTAGCCGGATCTCATCTCCTGCCTCTGATCCGCCCGCCGCCTCCCAAGCTGGATTACAAGCTGACCCCGCCTGCCTACTTAAATTCTTGTAAGGTGGAGTTTTGGTCTGCTATTTCTTAGCCGGGTGTGGAAGGCCCTGGGGAGATTTATCAGAATGAATTTCTATATCGAGAATTACAATAATTTGAGCTCTTATTTAAGGGTTAGCAGAAACAACTGGTACTTTCACAAGCTGGAAAGAGGCCAGTGTCAGATATGACAAATACAATCATAGAAAGGGAAAATAAAATTCACTTCCTATGAGGCTCAGCAATAATAAAAACAGAATGAAAAGCTTGGATATTTAGAAACAGGTTCTGTCTCTCACATATATATGTATGTGTGTGTATAATGTGTGTGTGTGTGTGTGTGTATTCTTCTCCAGAGTGGTTGTCTCTCACATATATATGTGTGTATTCATATATGTGTATAAATATATATATATATATAAATCATTCTGCTTGTAAGCAAGTTAGACCCTAAGCGTTCATGAATGCCTAGTTTCCTGTTACTCTTGTCCTCATGTTGTGTCCCCCATATAGAGCAAACAGACCTCCAAGAAAGGAAGATACGGTGAGTAAGACCACAGCTCTAGGCCAGGTGTGGTGGCTCACACCTGTAATCCCAGGACATTGGGAGGCCCGAGGCAGGTGGATCACTTGAGGTCAGGAGTTCGAGACCAGCCTGGCCAACATGGTGAAACCCCGTCTCTACTAAAAATACGGAAATTAGCTGGGCATGGTGGCAGGCCCCTTAATCTCAGCTACTTGGGTGGCTGGGGCAGGAGAATCGCTTGAACCCGGGAGGTGGAGGTTGCAGTGAGCAGACACTATGCCACTACACTCCAGCCTGAGCGACAGAGTGAGACTCTGTCTCAAACAAACAAACAAAAACTACAGGTCTTGTCTCAAGTAAATTATTGTTAAATTTTAAGAGTTCTGCAACTTCTTGTGGGCCTATTACTATTTCAAAACAAAGTTTTAAAAAGTTTAGTGAGAAGAATAAACATAAGGAACCTATGGATTATGTGGGTTCAATACGCTGTCTATCACAACAGTCTGCCAGTGGACCCAAGTGCATGACACAAAGGTGAATGTCGGTCACTGCTGAGTGAGGGTGATAGGCTTGGGAGTCAGGGTTAGAGAGGAGTCAGAGGGCTTGGAAGAGAATACCTATGCTTCCGCTGCTCCATCAGCACATAGACGAAGCAGCTGCTGTATTCTGTTGGTTCTTTAGTTTTAAGTAACCAGGTGTAGATGCGAGTCCCTGGCATCGCAGTTCTCTGTTCCTTTCCTCACCACCAATTGCTTCCTTGTTTCACCCAAAGTTGAGTTGGGTGAAACAAGTTCCATAACCCTTGGAGATGTTCTGAGGGATCAACCGTGCAGCCAATGCAAGATTCTTTTTGAAGTTCGTGTCGCAGATTCATTCTCCAGCTTCTGCTTGATCCATAAGCCCCTGGCAAGCAAAATGAACTCAATGAGCAGACACCAAGCAAAAAGCCTGATACCGGGGCATCGTTACTTCCCCCGTTCTAGCAGCCCTGACACTCCTGCTAAACCCAACCTTCTCTGGCAAGTTTTCCAACTAGTCCAAATTATAAAAAAGCCAGCAGATCTGGGCAGAGAAACTTGGCTACTTTCACCAGCCTTTTTGAGCCCAAAAGCTGGTTCCTCGTTGTAAGTGGTTGCCCAGCACACGGCTCTGAAAGGAAACCTTCACAAATCCTTTTCACTTGGCCTTGTAACTTGAGCTCACGCTCCCTTTCTGGCAAGGACACTGTGGAAAATTCCCTGTGCATAGAGAGCTGGCTCCAATTCCCAGCAATTCTACGAAGTTCTCTGTAATGGTAAAAATTGGAGCAGCTTAAACACCTCCAAAGTCTGGAGATCTAAAAGAGTACCTCAGGCACTGATGACGAGAAACAGGGTCCTGCTTTTCAGCATGGAGCTTTTAGAAGTCGGAATATGTCTGCCATCAAAGGTTGTCACAGTGACGGATTCAGCCTGGAGAGTACTGCACATTAGCAGGCACCTAATATTTGGAATTTCTTGGCAGAGCTGTCCCAGCCCATGTTACCTTTCTTATTTTCTGTAATCATATGCAAACAGCTACAAGTTTGCAGAGAAATAAACTGGTGGGGAGGGGAGAGATTTAGTTAGCCCTGGGGAGCAGCGTCAGCCTTGATGCATGACTTGGGATGACTCTGCCAATGTGTGACCTTGGGGAAAGTTCTGTATTTTGTTCAAATCCCGGTGTCATCTATAGAAAGCAATAGAACACACAATGCCTGCCTGATGAGGTGAATGGGATGATGGCTAAATAAGCTAATGTGTGTGTGTGTGTGTGTGTGCATGCCGCCCAGTCGGCACACCTGTATTCCTACCCCTCCTCCCTCCTTCTCCTGCTGCTATTCCTCTTCTTTTCTCAAACTGTGATTTTCAAAGTGTTTTAACTGCTGAAACTTTTAAAAAATTCAATCAAATATGCATGTGGAATCACACATAGAAAACAGATAAAAACTCAAGCTGCTGCAAATGAAGCACTGATTCTATTCCTTATTTCTCCCCTTAGCGGTGGCTTCCACAATTCACGAGCCACAGGAATGGCTCTTCTTATTGCCTGGGAGTCCCTGCAGGGCACATGGGATTGGATCGCAGGCCCCTGGCTGCTCCCCATCTTCCCTGGCCCCTGCCTCCCAGACCTGGGCACCTGAAACCTTACCGTGGAGGGCTCTGGTGTTTGGGATTTAAATAAAAGCCCTCTGGACTTGAGTTCTTTCCATTCCAAGTGTTTTCTCTGAGGAACTCATTTTTCAGAGGAATGGCTGGGCTGCCTGAGAGCTCTTCCCAAGCCTGAGACTTCTTCGTTCTTGTTTAGCAGTTTGAGGAGAGTTATATCAGTTCTTGTTTTGCGTCCGTGTGTCAGGAAGCTGGTGGGCACTTGGTGTGCACAGCCCTCTACTCGGGCTTATGTGTTTACCAGGCTTTTATTGGCACATGGAAAAGAGTGATGAAATGAGGTATGCTGGTGCATGAAGGGGTCAAAGGGCAAGTCACAAAACATGTGAATGTGAACTTGAACTTGCTACCTGTGCCTCTCGGGGTCTGAAGGCCTGTCTCTGGAGCATGGGCTTGAGGGTGAGGCTGTTCCTGCAGGGCCGGCCTCAGAAGGCAGCCACCCACAGCTAGAATTAGGCAGAGAAACCCCTAGAATTGTAAGGGCTCCAGCACTTCCCCACATAACTCATCCCTATCCAGCCTCCCTCTCATTTTGGCCTACTGTTTCTTGCAGGACCATCCAGAGCCTTGATAGAAGTGGCATATCCCTCACCCCCAGGGAGGAGGAGGCCAGGGCTGGGAAAAGGGCTTCTCTCCCTTTCTGTGGCTCTAATTATAGATGCTGGACTTGGAAGATGAGGACAGGCTGGAGTCCTGCCCTGAGCTGGGAGTCGGAATGTACAGTAGTGCTTTCAAGATCTTAGTCATCAGTAAACAGAGCTATTATGTGCTGGGTCTGGATGTGTTCTTTCTTCTGCTGTGTGGCCTGTGGTTGCCATGGATATGGCTTTGTCTTTGGAGGCCCATAACCAAGGAGGATTTAAGTAAATCCTGATGGGTCAATATTTCCATAAAACAAAACAAAACAAAACAAAAAAGAAGAAAAGGGGCCACTTTCTTAGATAACTCCAAGAAAATCCTTAAGCAGTTCCGAAATCAACAAAACCCTCAGGCTGTAGTTACCAGAACCTAAAGGGACACACGTTTTTAAAAAGGCCTCAGAATTTAAAAAGATGAGGTCTATCGATGGCTCTGATTGCAGCAAGTAAAAATGATGGCATATCCCCATTGAGTGTTTTGGACCATATAAAGTTACATTTTTTTCCCAGCCAGTGCTTATTTTTCAGAATGCTTTTCGATTTGCCATTTGTAAGATGTGTCATATTCCAGCATATAAATGAACCTGTGTTTCAAGCAAACAGTTGTTGTTTCTGTCTGACACAGGGGATTCGGGGACATTTGGTAATGAGTATGGAAGATGCGTAGATTGAATTAAGGAGGCTAAAAAAAGTAAAGAAAGAAGAAAGACTCATTCCTGCATAGTAACCAAACAGCTCTGCGTCTTTGTTTGAAAACACAGGCATGCCCTCTGAGATTCCTCGTAAGCCACTCTAAAGAGAGGTGCTTGGTAAAGCAAAGGTCCGAGGCTGAGAGCTGGGGTACAGCCACCACTCTGCCATGTTTGGGCTTTTTGCTCAAGGACCATATGCGTTTTACTGGGATGCTCTTTGGTTATGCTTCTCTGTGTTTCCAGAAACCACGCTGCCCAGGCCAGGGAGAAAGCGGTTGGATTCTAGGATGAGAACCCCAGCCGAAGTGTGCTGGGTCCCTGGCTTGTTTGTGCACAGCTTGGAAGGAGCTGCTTCCATAGTATCTTTGCCAGCATCATGAAGTTCCCCCCTCCCCACCCCTTAACACCCTAGTATTTAATCATCCACCTTGCTTCCTTCCCCAGTCACTGTCGCTGGCTACAAGGCACCTCCAATTAAGGAGATGCATCTGAACTGCAATTATCCAGCAACCTCTTTAAGTGAAGTGGAGAAAAGTGATGTTAGTTTCCTTTCTGTATGCTTGAGTTTTCCCATGTTTGTACTTAAACACCGGCTTGATCCACAGCATCTGCTTCCCTGCCTGCCTCAGGACTTCTCCCCAGTCCCCTCCTATGATGTCACCTGGCAACTGCTGGAGCTTCCCAAGTGGAGGATTATGACATTCTTGCTCTGACTCCAAGAGCTTCAATGCAAAGACCTCTGTGGTTGTTAGGAACAGAGAGGGCAGGAATGCGGCTGGCCAGTTGCCATGAGGGTCAGTGGTGGCCAGCCTGGATGAAGAAAGGAAGCTTGTGCTTGAGCTGCCTCTGGTACGTCCTGAGAGAAAGGACCTGCCTCCCAGACCAAGTGTAAATCAGCTCTCAAGCTTGCCCCAGCTGCTGCAAACTGCCTGGGAGGCTGAGGTCATGCTCTGTAGCGAACAGAGACATGGCAGCCAGCAAGGCCAGGCTGAGCAAGGCTGCTTGGTTTGACTGGGCCTGATTCAGGGAAAGTCTGGAAGTGCTAAGAAAACTTTGAGTGTGAGGACGAACATCCTGGTCAATAGTTGCTGAGGCTCTGAACCACCCTATCAGACCCTGAAAAGGAATTCTGACCCCCTGGCTTCTGTAGAGTTCCTCCCGGGCCACAGCAAACGGGACAGATTTCATGGACAAGCCAAGGGTTTGATAGATCTTTACTTGACCCCAGTCTGAGAGAGACAACTCTGATCTAGATGGAAAGGAATTTTCTGATTTTCCATGTTGGTAAAATGGAATAGGGGGGTGCCTGGGATTTGGATTGGAGGATGACTCTGAAAAGCCCCGGGAAGGTTGCGAAGCTTGCAATGACATCTCATCTGGAACATTACAAGGAAGAAAATAAGAGAGGCAGTTAAAGGAACCAGCATGGCGCTGAGGGAAAGCCATTCTAGCTTGGATTTTAAATGAACACAAACAAAAGATGGAAGGAGGGGCATGTAATGAAGGGTGTCACAAAAGAATAGCAGGAATCTGTATCTGAGTGTCAGGAAAAGCTGAAGTCCACAATATGCTATGACTTGTGGAACAGCAGCTGACATGAGAATAATGCTCCATAGTCTGCAAAGCATTTTTATGTAAATGATCACATTGATCCTCACAATAACCCTGTGAGTGGGGATGGGAGTTATCCTCGGAGTGTGGAGGGGCTTCTCAGAGGCAAAGCTGGGATGAGAGCCCAGATCATCTCAGGCCAAATGCTGGCCTTTTCCCACCATTCCACATCCTTTTCTGTTACATCGCCCACATTCTGATGATGTTTGGAGTAAGAAAAATGGGATGGGGTCATGCTTTGGGAGATAGGATAATGGAGGCAGATGCTAGCAAGCAAAACTAGTTGCTCCTATTTTTTTTCCTCCAGTATACATCACAAAGCAAAATGATCTGTCAAGGACAGAACAAATGTCTGAAGATGGGTGAGAACTTTAAGAACTCACTCAAGGTGAGAACTCACCTAGCTCTCCAGGCCCAGGGCTGGACATTGAAGATGGTTGTTTGCAAAGGGACTTGATTTTCTCCTCCCTGATGCTTCTCACCCCAGACATTACTTGCTCAGTATCTGTGTCCACAAGACTTGAGGGACCGTGGCCGGTCCATGTGCTTTCCCCATCTACAGCACAGACGCTGAATAACTGACCACAGACAGGCCTGCAGTGACTTCTGTGAATTTACGGAGAATGACAGGTATGCCGCAGAGAGAGGAAGAAGTTATCATGATTTACAGGAAAAGAGAAAAAGTAGATTCAAGAATCTACATACCGATTAGCTGACATTAGTCTCTGACATACTTACGTTCATTTCAAAGGTAAACCTGAAGTCTGAAGACAGAGTCATATGAGCCCATCTCATCCATCCCAGAGACCCAACTGGAACCCTTGTCTTGGGTGGCTCAGAGATGAGATGGGGCCATCTGAGCTGTCATGTCCTAAATGCAGAGACAAGGAGTTTCAAGGCAAGATTCTTTTTTGTCGCTCTCAGCCTTGCTTTTAGGATTAGTTGTTCCATTAAACATTCAGCCTTAATAAAAAGGAGGTCTTACAATCTGAGTGTGCTGAGAGGTATGTACCTTAGAGGAGTTGGAAGAGGAGGATACACTCAATGTGGAAGCTTAGTGATGCTGTCAATTACCAATACTTATTGTCACTGTCAGAATTACCAAGTGTACAAGTGTAAACACTGCAGGCAGAGTGTTCTCTAAAGGACATTGAGTAGATGGGGGCTGGGCCCAGGAACCGAGACTCACAGAGGTTTCTTCAGCTCCTCTCTTCTTGTTGGGAAGAACAATATTTAAAGACAGGCATCTCACTGCTTCTTTCCCTGACCTTTCCAATCTGTGAAAAGCGGGGCTGGAAGGAGTATGAGCTGACCCCGTCTCATGCCCTTCACCCCTTATTCACTGCACTGTAGCCATAAGGGTCTTCCCCTCAATATACCCAGTGTATTCCCACCTGGGTGGGCATCTGCTGCTCCCTTTCCTGGACCAACAACTTCCTGTCATTGGAACCTCAAGTCAATCAGTGTCTCCTGGGAGAGACCTGCTCTGATCCATACCCATTGTGTTTTCTTCATAGCATGCTGAATTTCTTCCTAGCAATCTGAAATTGCTTCATTTTTCTTCTTCCCATTCTCCTTCCCCTTCTCCTCTCTTTTCTTCCTCTGCTCCTCCTCCTCTTCTTCCTTGCCTGTTTCTCTCCAGCTAAAATGGGAGCTCTGTGTCCTTGACTGTCTGTTCACCAGTGTATCCCCAGTGCCTAGGATGGTACCTGAGCAGGTGCTTGACAAACAATTTTTGCAGGAACGAGTTGACTTACCCCACCTTCTTTCTTGGCTGCTTTCATTTAGGCTACTTAGAGACATGATGATCATCGCTATTCAACAAATGGTGAATGGGCATGGGTAAACAGAGATCACTTGAGAGCACTTTGATATTTTTGATGTCTGAGGGGGTCTCTAATAACCTGAAAACAATCCACAGCGACAAGCTCAGATCACATGTTCTGGAGATATCTCTAAGGCGAAAGAAACTGTGCTTCTATTTTGGTACAGTAAATGAAACCTCAGGGAAAGCTGAGAAAAAGGAATGGGGCAAGTTCCACCTGGGAATGTAAAAAACATTGCTAGTAGGAGATAAGCCTGCTTAGGGTCTCTCAAAGTATCCATTATTCAGATGTGTTGTGCAGTCTGATCAGTGTCCCCAGGCAAGATCAAGACAGGAGCTGAGAGAAGGCTAAGGACAGGTCAACGAAGAGAAGAAGGTTGGGTGGCCGAAGAAGCTGAGGAAACGCATCCCAGGAGATGCTGACTCAACACCTAGAATTTCTGCTGATTTCATTGAGCAACAGGGGCATACCCTATCTTGACCTCAGTTTGGCAAAATGGAGGTGGTACTGCTGACTTTTCTTAATGGGGAAGGTAGAAAAGTGTGGGGCCTACAAGGGCACCTTTTTAAAAAAGATCCCAAATAACAGTCACTTAAACAAAATAGAAAGTTCTATCTTGTGGAACCTTCTGACCCCTCATCTGGGCTGCATGGCAGCTATGAGGTTGTTTACCCAGTTGCCTTCTACTTCGTTGTTTTGCCACCTTTGGATGTTGTTCTCATTTGCATGGTTGGCACTATCATGTCCACATTTAAGCCAGAGAAGGAAAGAAAGGGAAGACGCTCATTTTTCAAGTGCATGATCTGGAAGTAGCACACATACCTTCCATTCACAACCCACTGGCCATAACTTTGTCTCCTGGCCATACTTAAGTGCAAGGGAGTCTGGGAAATGTGGTTTCTAACTAGGTACCCCAACTGAAAATTCTACAGCCATGAAAGAAAAGGAACAGGGATATCAGTAGACAGCCTCTCTGTCACAGGTGATGGAGGAAATTATGGCAAAATGCCATCTAAATACAGTGAAAATTCTCCTTTGCATCTGCCCCGGGTGGGGGGGCAGATAAAATGGGAGTGGAAGGCTCTCTGTCAGGTCTTTGCAGAGCAAACAACTGGATAGATTTTTGACAAGCAGACCGATGGAAATGCATTCCTACAATAAAGCCCAGTGATAATATATGAGGTATACTAGTGCCATCAAACAGCACAAGTGTAGCAATTTTATTTTGTTTTGTTTAATTTTACTTCAAGTT